TGCTTGTCCATCTTAAACACACACCAAACAGGGCTGGATTAACATAGGGGCTGATGGAGCTGCAGCTCCAGGCCCATGCCCATGGAATAGGCCCATTGATTTAAAAAAAAGAAGAAAAAAAAAGAATACATTTATTTTTTTACACACTACACTTAGGGTTGCCACCTGGCCAGTATTTATTTGAGGCTGCCTGGCAGATGCCGATATTGCAGTAATATCGGCAATACAAATTCCGGTATTTTTCGTAGTATAAACAGAGATTACTCTGCAATACCAGCACTGGCCAGTAGGGATCACTGTCTGTGTGGAGAGAGAGGCAGGGATAGGAAGTTACAGCATATACCTGCATCTCTCTACTCACTGATCCACAGGGGGGAGGGGGGAGCAATCACACAGCACAGAGAGTACAGACAGCAGCTCTCAGCCTGCAGAGACAGCTTACAGCTCAGGGATGTGAGGGATGGGGTAAAGGCTGCAGGGAGACATGGGGACACTGAGACCTGGGAACACTGAGACACTACGATACATGAGAACACAGACACTTGGGGACACAGACACAAATGGGGACACTGAGAGACTAGAGACACAAGGTGCCCAATTGTCTCAGTGTCCCCATGTCTTCCAGCCAGTGTACCTGGTGTCTCAGTGTCCCCATGTCTCCCAGTGTCTCAGTGTCCCTAATGTCTCAGTGTTCCCATGTCTCTCTGTGTCACTAGTGTCTGTGCGCCCATTGGACACTGAGACACTGTGATACATAGGGACACTGTGATACATAGTCTCAGTGTCCCCCAGTGTCTTCGAGTCTCAGTGTCCCCTAGACACTGGGTGACATGGGGACACAGAGAGCAATCCATCTATACAGCATAATCAAACTGTAAGTAGTCTTTTGGTGATTTTACTGAATTTTCACTAATGTCACTCCTTGAGATTTACATCATGTGATGTCACGCATACATAGTTAGTTATGCAAATTAGTGAGGCCTGTGTGTTTTGTTTTTTTCCAAGAAACGTGGCAACCCTAACAACTCTTCACATACTTGTGCTTAAGTACGGAAACTTAAGATAGATATATGGAAACAAAACTTGTGTGGGCTAGCTAAAATTAAATTAGTTAAGGTAATGCTGACTTTGGTCTCTCTAACACTGTGGGCTCTTAATGTGGCCCCGACCCCAAAGCTCTCATCTCCTCTCTCATTAATCACAAACTCAAAACCTCTCTGCTCAGGACTGACATTCCACTACTTTCCTTAATTTCTTGTAAGCATGCAGAAGCTTTCTCCTGGAATGCAGCCTGGGACAGAAAAAGAGGTGGATGTAGTGAGTGTAGCAGAAAGGAGACATATCACACCGCCACGTGATGATGGGAGGAATGCTGGGCTTTTAAAGAAATAGGAATAAAAAGAGCATTTACACATTGCACAAAGTCAGCTTTACCGTAACTATTTTTAGCCAGTCAGTCCGCACAAGCTTTGTTTCCCTGTATTGCACTTAAAGAAGCACTATATGATCAGGAACACAAACAAGTATTCCTGACCCTATAGTGTTAAAAACACCATCTAGCCCCCTTGGCTGCCCTAAATATAGTAAAACCTTACTTGTATTCTAGTCTGCTGCTGCAGGCTCTGCCCATGATCTGCCTATTTGGCTGAAATCATCAGAAATGTTATTCAAAGTCAATCGCAATGCCCATAGGAAAGCATTGGATTGGTTTAGACTGTCAAGGAAGCAGAGCAGTGGCAGAGCCAGCACAAACCAAACACAGCCTAGGACAATAAGTATCTCCTCCTAAAGATGCATTAAATCAAGCACCTCTAGCAGCCATCTGAGGAGTGGCCAGTGGAGGTATCCCTCGGCTGTAATGTAAACACTGCATTTTCTCTGAAAAGGCAGTGTTTACAGCAAAAAGCCTGAAGGGAATGATTATACTACATAGAACAAATACAATAAGCTGTAGTTGTTCTGGTGACTATAGTGTCCCTTTAACCTCTTAAGGACACATGACATGTGTGACATGACATGATTCTCTTTTATTCCAGAAGTTTGGTCCTTGAGGGGTTAAATTCGTATTTGCCATTCCCACTGCACAAGAGCATAAAGCAAGCACATAAGAAACTAGCAAAGCAAAATAGGGTAAATGGGCCTATTTCATGGGCATGGGCCTGGTGCTGTAGCTTAATCAGCCTCTATGCTAAACGTGCCCTGCTCACAGTACAATACTATAGAAAAGTAAGAGACTTTTAACACAGAGCCTGTTTACCAGAGTACAGTGATATTGTAAATTAAGTAGGAGAAAAAATACATTTGAAAACATATGATAAGGAGAGCTGACAGAAAGCATTGACAAACCTGGACTGCTCTGAACAGATTGCAGGGTGATGACAGATGACGTCATTGGTCCGTGCAAGATAGCGACCATGGGACAGATAATGACAGAATCTGACTCAGGGTCATTCCATGTGGCAGCTGTGACAGTCAGAGGGGGAAGGGCGAGGAAGAGAGTTTCCAAAAAATCAATATACAACTAACACAATCTGATTTCTTTAAAAAATGACAATCTTTCTAAAAATAAATTGTAAAAATGTATTTTAATTCTTTAATCAGTTTCTGCTCGCAGTACCAGGGAACATGATTTGTAGAGTAAGTACTCTATGTCTGTTACTAAGGAAAAGGTACTATAAACACTAAGAATGTAACAGTCTCTCAATCTGGTCTATAAAATGTTTGGAGGATAAAGAAAAGGAATACTCTAAGCATTAAAACCACTACAGCTCACTGTAGTGGCTATGGTGCCTGAAGAGAATTACACTTCTTCCTCCCATTGTAAGACATGGAACCCTTTTTTTAACAGTTTGACTTGTTACATTGTATCCACAGGGAGCCACCATGACTCCACTACTAACGCAAGAGAGAAGAATATTCCTAATCAGGAACTTCCATTACCTCTCCTGAGCTTGCTTGTTGTCTGGGAACATCAGCTGCTTAGGAGCTTTAGGCTCTCTGGTGTTTTGGAGTTGGGAAGTAGTGATTGGTGGACTCCATTTAAAAAAATCAAACCATTCACAAAACAGTTTCACTACTTACAATGGTGGTAGGGGCGGCAGGGCACTCCTGGCACCACAACTACTGCATACAGTTGTAGTGGGTATGGGGCTTTGCAGTGTTTCTTTAAAGCAGCCATTTCAATATTTACTGTCATAGTTGATCCTAATAAAACTGAGACACAGCTTCTCTTTTTTTTATTTTCCTGTAACCCCTGCACATTTTTAAAATACAGTCATCTGACACCTACCCCAAAATAGAAAATCTAATTATACCTTGTCAGATTGTAAAGAATGTAAGAGAAAATAACTAGATTTCCTGCACCATCTTAATTAAGCATGGGTATGGTGAGTGATCATGCTTAAGGATTCATTCACTAAACATCGAATTGTAGTGAATTATAAAACTAAATACATATTTTTTTAAAGTGTTGATTTGGACCCAAACATCAACCCAAGTCCTAAATTTTGCAATCTGACTTTCAGTTCATTACATTTCACTTTTTAGTGAGTAAGCCACATTGCATTTATCGCCTTTCGTACATCTGCTATAATTCATACACAGCGAGGTTTAGTCATATAGAAAACTAAAGACATTTCGTGTCAATTATGTGTCAAGGTGCAAAAGAAACTACTGATGATTTTTTCAAAAGGATCACATTCCCAGTGGATCACTACAGATTTGACTTTATAAAACTTTATATAGTTAAATATGGTTCAATAACACATTTTGAATCTCTTTCCTTCCAAAGCTTTATATGCAAGCTTTATACGCTAAATTTCATTTTGCAGAACAAAGCCATCTTAATCCGCAGTTACCATATGATCTTCTCCAGTGCTGGTCTTCACTGTACAAAGAAATACATTTTTCTGAATGGTCTCCAGTCAGTATTTACCAATGTCGGGAACCAAAAAAGGGCCCTCATGTCATTTTTATGATTCCCTGCTTGTAGGAACAGGCACGTCATATTCATTAGGCCCCAGGAACTTGCTCACAATAAGTTATTGACTATAGTAGCACTGTCTTCCCTGGTGATATAACAAATAATCTGATTCTTAGAACAGTCTAATAAAGATTTTTAAAAAATATGGTTAAAAATTAATTGCCTACATCTTTGCAGCCTGATAGGGCACTAAGCACACTGAGCGGTTTCTATGCAATAGCAGTCTGCAATGCCCATGCATTGTGTAGATTAATGTTTTTAGCCAAGATAGTGTATGTGGACAGTCTTTTAACATCTTTATATCATTATTTATTTTGTTCCCCTAAAAATACCATCACATTATTACAAATAACCATAAGCAAGATGTAAGTATTATTATGTATTTATGTAATTTTTTTTTTTTTAATAATAATAATATTTTTGCAGTGCATACAATAGATACATATAAGCCTGAGGTACCCCAACAGCTATCCTCTGGCATCATGACAAGCTTTACAATTGGGGTAGTAGAATGAACGTGCACAATTTTATATTATAGTGAACATGCTTAAACCTAAGAAACATGCTGAACTTTTGCGTGAACTTCTGCGGAGTGGAATTAATCAAGATTTTGTTAGCAAGAGTTATTTAAACATGGTCTTAAGTGTGCAGACTATGCTAGGCTTTTGTTTGCCGATTCAAAAATATAACAAGCTAGCAGGCAATAATAGAGCAGGCTGATAACGGGTTTAACCCCTGGAATGCCTCACTCTATCATGGAGTGTGTTTGGAGAGAGGCAGGCAACCAAAAAATTTACAAAAACATAAAGTTAACTAAAACATCATATCAACGGCATCGTCAGTCTAGGTGCAGACGGGCAGCATATAGCCTGTGTCTTGGGGAGACATGGGGGATGCGTTCGGGACCGTAGGGCAATGTCAGCCAATGCCTCAGCTCAGTATGGCGAGAAAGTCTTTGGAGGCTGCTGGGATCATCTGGATGCACACCAGAGACAATTCTGGGCAGAGGTTACACTTGTTATCCCGCATGCCCCGGGCCTTGCTGAGGGCCTGCATCTTTGTACCCCGGACCTGGGGTCTCTCCTCTGAGTCCAAGTCCTTCCTCTCTTGGAGGGGACAGAAGCTCTGGGTAGTCGGTTGTCTCTTGTGGGGTCTGTGCTTCTGCCTCTTTGGGGGATGCAATCTCTTTTGACTCTCTGCCCACGTGGGCTAGGTGTGTAGGGCTTGGATGCTTGGTAGTAGGTTGTGTCCAATGGGGCTTCATGCACCCCATCTCCTGCTCACCTCCATTTGCTCCTCTGTCCCCCTGCTGCCGCACGTCCCTCCAACCGCTCCCAGAACCGGAAAATATCTCACCGAGGTGCTGAAGCATACGAACCAGCATGGTGCACCCGACTGCACCCGACTTCTGTCGCGTGTCGCTTAAAGGGGGCGCGTCCGCCATTTTGAGTAGGAGTGCTGGGTCTCAGTTCCGTGCAATATTAATTGCCTGCAGTCAGCAAGGTAAGTGGAGCTGCTTTGTGTGGACCAGGGTGACAGCTTCTACTTAAGAGCCAGGAGAGCGTCCGCCTCTCCGTGACTCAGTCTCGCGTAGGCCGCAAGCCTCAGTGTGTCCGTCCGACTTCGCAGTAGCTCGGGAGAGGCACCGTCTGATGCAGCAACCTCTCCCGGGTGAGAACAGTGTAGCTTGCAGTGTGTGAGTGCCTATTATCGTGTATAGCACCCTGGTTTTTTGTCCCAAGACGTAGGAGTATTCGTGCTGAACATGTCTGGGCTGCTTGCCTGCGCCGCTTATGCAATTTGTTTTTATGTATTTTTGCAAGATAAAGAAAATCTTAATTATCCCAAACTTTTTATCTGGTTACTATTTCTGAATAAGATTTTGAAGCATGTATGAAATAAAAGGGAAAAAAAAAAAGGAAAAGGAATTTACATTTTTGGGCAACCCTTTAACAACGTTCTATACCCAAAATAGTTGTTTTGTTCTTATTAATGTGCTAGTTATTCATCCCATGTTTTTTTTTTGTTTGTTTGTTTTTAAATGTTATGCTGTATTTTTAATAACTTACTAATATGGTTTTAAGAAACACCAATAAATTGTGTCACTCATATTACACTTGGAATATTAGCCGTTACTATAGATAGATAACCAAAGTTACAAAGATCCATACAAAATGCAAACGAACAACAAATGTATTTTGGAAAGTCACTTCTCAGCCAGCCCTTAAATACAGTCGTCGATACATACAATATGCTCTTAAAAGTTTACCAGCTGCTATGTGGAGCTAATCACCAGCTATCTCATTCTCGTGAGAGATTTTTGTTCCATTGAGTTCCGTTTAGACTTTAGTTGATTTCACACTAACCTCTGGGGAAGGAATTAAAGCCTGTGTATGGAACTTGTGAGGAAAGATATCTGAAATATCAGATACTCCGAGATTAACTGTATTCTTTTATAAAATACAGGCAGCGCTCACTTTGAGTAAAATAGCCTTTACTGACACATTGCCAAATCAACTGGAATAAAATATAGGTCAGACACATCCTGCATTCTATTGGTCTGCTAGTCAATACATTCTGCTACACTAGAGGTTCTAGCAAGTCTATAAACTCCTTCCGAAGATAAGTTATTTTACCAAAAATAACCGTATATTGATTATTGCTCCCCTATTGTATTGGCCAATAATGCTAGCTTATGGTACAGTGTATTACTCATTTTAATTCAGCACAACGTTAGAGGTTTGAGAAGGTTGTATCACTTTCTGACTCTTCTTGAAGGAACATCCCAGACACCAACACGACTTTTACATACATTCACTAGCTTTTAGCCTCAATAATTATCTGTTTGTTTACATTCATAATCTTGTACAGTTTTTGCCAAACACAAATATGTTAATGTTAACGCTGCTTCTTCTCCCCGACTTAATTCTAAACAAACTCAACATTTGCTGGTTACTGCACATGCGTACAGCTCCCTTTCCAGTATCCAGTAGCACAGTTGTACATGTATTCAACTTTTTTTTTTTTTTTGAAGAACTTCAAAACTTTTTGTGGGTGTATGGACATTTTTATAACTAGCTGTCTGATAACTGAGATATTACACAGAGAGATAGTCTGTCCCTCCCTCACCCAGATACACTTTTTAACCCTTGAGCTGCTGGGTTGATCATTCCAAAAAGTTCAAGAGTACATTAACCAGAAATAAAAGTTTCCTGATTGGGCAAGTTACTTTCTAATGTAGGTAAAGTTTGAGTGAAAATATAATGTGTGGTGGGAATTAATACAAAACGTTGAATATTTGTTTGTTTGTTTAATCTTGAATTAGTTTGTTTTGTTTTATATATTTGTAAAAAAATATTTTTGCAATACATTAAAGGGACACTATAGGCACCCACACCACTTTAGTTCATTGAAGTGGTCTGAGTGCAGTGTCCCTTTTCCACCTAGTGCTGCAATGTAAACATTGCACTTCCAGAGAAACTACAATGTTTATATTCCAGCTCTAAGTCTGCCTCCAGTGGCTGTCTTCCAAACATCCACTAGAGGGCTTCCTGGATCAAAACAGACCTTTGGTCCGGTATCTGACGCTGGACGTAATCACCATCTGCATGAGGACATCCAGTGTCAGATTTTTTCCCCATATAAAAGCATTGATTCAATTTGCCATGCATGCGCACTAAAGCCTGCACTTCGCGGGACGCCGGAGGGTGCGGAGCATCAATCCAGTGCCGAGGGACATCAGCGCTGGAATAAGGTGAGTAAATAAAGGGTTTTGTAACTCTTTATTTACTCACGCAAGGAGGGGGGACAGGGAGAGAGATAGTACCAGGAATACAGCTTTGTATTCCTGGCACTATAGTATTTCTTTAAAATAGAATGACTCAATTTTAGTCTAAAGTGCGCTTTTAAGCTTATCTGAGCAAGGCCCTCATAAACTCTTCTTTGTTTATGTCTAAGTGGCATAATTATTGTATGTATTGTTTAGTCATTTTACAGCACTGCAGAAAAAGCTTTGTGATTTATAAAGAATGTTTGCAAAATCAAATTCAGAGGTAGAAGATAATTCACATGAGCTAATGCATGCTCTTTGCCTGCAGTCTAACCAATTCTAAAGCACTATCATAGCATGTTGAAAGCATCACTCCAAGCACCAAAACTACTGCAACATATTGAAGTAGTTGAGGTGCAAGACCTTGCCCCTGCAGCCTTATGTTTTAAAAATGTTTATTTCCAGAGATAAATAGAGATACATTTCCATATGTTGGGTCACTTTTCTGTGCTGTCATTCAGCAAGCTAAAATGCTCTCTTCTTGGCCGGCAATATTAGTTTTGTGCAAATTTTGCGGGCTTGGTGTCCAGGGCCGATCCTAGGGTCACAGATGCCTGGGTGCAGATTTTGTTTTTGTGTGCCCTCAGGTGGGCATGGTCATCTTACTAACTCCTCCCCTTTGCAAATTTTTGTTTGCCTACGGTGGCAAAAATTCTTGCACCGGCCCTGGGGGAGACACTGATTTAACCAATCAGCATCCTATCCCCTGGAACACTGGACAAATGCATTGTGCATACATAACAAATTTGCTGGATGGTCTCTTCACTTAGGAACATCCTGTGTGATTCATGCAGAGCACACTCGCGGTGTCGCATTTCTCTGTCTCACTGCTGCACAATAATGCACTGTTTCTGCCACTAATGGACTGGTTTGAGATTGAGATGGGTAACAAAGAGGAGGAGGCTAAGCAAACTACCCTAGCTGAGAGGTGTGCCCAGTAATGCAATCTGACCAAGTTTAAAGTACACTTATACACCCTGTTCCAAATTATTATGCAAATTATATTTTTCTCATTTACCTAAATAATTGATGTAAATAACAGTCAGCATAATTCTCATGTTATCAACTATTAAGAGTACAATTCAAATTTTATTGAACAAACCTCCTAATGATAACAGTATTTTTTTTAAACATAAAAAACTTACAATGCACTGTTCCAAATTATTACGCACAGTAAGTTTCAAAACACTTTATAGGTTGTAAAGAACTGAAAATTGTCATTTGTTGTGTTTGCAGCATATTTACTGAAATCAAAAGCTATTTCAATCAAACTTATAACAACATTTTAACTTTTTAAACATTTTAACAGGTCACGTTACATTTTAACATAGGACCCCTTATTTGATAGCAGCTTCACAAGTCTTGCATCCATTGAACTTGTGAGTTTTTGGACAGTTTCTGCTTGAATTTGTTTGCAAAATGTCAGAATAGCCTCCCAAAGCTGCTGTTTGGATGTAAACTGCCTCCCACCCTCATAGATCTTTTGCTTGAGGATGCTCCAAAGGTTCTCAATAGGATTGAGGTCAGGGGAGGATGGAGGCCACACCATGACTTTCTCTCCTTTTATCCCCATAGCAGCCATTGATGCAGAGGTATTCTTTGCAGCATGAGATGGTGCATTGTCATGCATGAAGATGATTTTATTACGGAAAGCATAGTTCTTCCTTCTGTACCAGGGAAGAAAGTGGTCAGTCAGAAACTCCACATACTTTGCAGAGGTCATCTTTTCACCTTTGGGGACCCTAAAGGGGCCGACCAGCTCTCTTCCCATGATTCCACCAGTGCCTTGCTGATGTCGCAGCCTTGTTGGAACAGGGTGGCCGTCCACCAACCATCCACTACACCATCCATCTGGACCATCCAGGGTTGCACAGCACTCATCAGTGAACAGGACTGTTTGAAAATTAGTCTTCATGTATTTTTTTGCACAATGCAGCCGTTTCTGCTTGTGAGCATTGGTTAGTGGTGGCCGAATAGAAGGTTTATACACAGTTGCAAGACTCTGGAGGACTCTACACCTTGATGTCCGTGGGACTCCAGAGGCACCAGCAGCTTCAAATATCTGTTTGCTGTTATGTAATGGTATTTTAGCAGCTGCTCTCTTGATCCGATGCACGGATCTGGCAGAAATCTTCCTCAATGTGCCTTTATCTGCACGAACCCGTCTGTGCTCTGAAACAGCCACAAATCTCTTAATAGTGCAATGATCACGCTTAAGTTTTCGTGAAATATCTAATGTTTTCATACCTCATCCAAGGCATTGAACTATTTCACTCTTTTCGGCAGCAGAGAGATCCTTTTTCTTCCCCATATTGCATGAAAATGGTGCTCTGCTTAAAAATAAGTAGTTTTTCCTTAAATTGGGCTCACCTGGCAATCTAGTTATCACAGGTGTCCGAGATTGTTTTCAGTGAGCAAAAGAGCCCAGAGACACAATGCCATCCATGAGTTAAACTGAAAAACAAAATATTTAATGTTTGTGACACTTAAATAGAATTTGCATAATAATTTGGAACAGGGTGTAGATGTTTATTACATACTTTTCAAAGTTGTCCTTGCTTTATTTTAGTTTGTATACACCATTTGTTTAAAAGTGCTTGCTGGTTTAAACGTAT